CTGTAAAACCAGCTAATTCAGAGATTCAGCTATTAGGTTTAAGAAGAGATTCAGTCGTCTGTTTTCAGATTGGAGCTAGGAACCAGCCCCATGTTAGAAAAGTTTCCCTGCTTTACCTGGAGAAAAGCTATCAAACTCATTTAATACTTAAAATCTAAAATAGCAGGAGTTTCTCTCTTTTGGTATAGCCAAAAGCCGTAATGAACTTTACATAGTTCATACAAGTCTGTTGCAAATTATAAAACCTAAGCATTATGAAGGGTACTGTACTATTTAAAATAAATAACCAGAACTATCAAATCTAACTAAATTTCTGGGATATTTAGCCCTGGAGTCAATTTCTTCCAACCCCTGAACATAACACTCCTTTTGGTAAACCATTTGCTGGCAAAATTTAGTTTGACAAAATAGGGGATCCAATTCCTAGTTCTAGTTTTCTGTTTTGAGGACTTGGTTGCACTTAACCAGGTAAACGAGTTAATAAGTAAAAGACTTATGAACTATCTGACTGAAGATGGTAAGAAAGGTCCTGGAACAGCAGGGTGACTGGATTCATACCCACTAACCTGTGGTGATTTGAACAATTACATTGCCACTGCATTTTATCTACAAAACCAAATGCATTGAAGTTTCAAATTTTCCCTAGGCAGCAAAGCTTATTCAACTTGCATGAGACATTCATGTTTATGACGGAGAGCTGGTTTAGAGAAAAAGCTTGATTTCCTATGAACTAAGAGGGCCTTGAGCCAAGCCTTGAGATATCATGCTAAAAGAGTACACAAAGCATGTACTTGTCATCCTTTCACATCCAGGCTAGAACAACACCAGCCTACCCTGATTACTGTAGCTGTTTATTTCACTTCTGTCCCCACCTCAAGCAAGCACATTACTTCTCCTTTCCAGAATTCACTCACTTCCCAGCCAGTTTCTCTCACAAAAAAAAAAAAAAAAAAAAAAAAAAAAAAAAAAAAAAAATCACCAAACTATCTCCCTAATGCTCTGATTCTTCCTATAAACACCATTTAAGAACCACACAACAGTTTTCCCCTGTCTGCCCAGGATTTTCTCTCTAATGTGGTTCTGTACTTGCAGCAATTCCATGTAAGTGAACTAGCACAACAAATATTATTAGTTGCTATGTTAAAGCACAGGCACAAATCTCTGGCATTGCAGAATGTGTGTTTGGGATAAGATGCACAACCACTGCACATGTGTTGATTTTATAATTTATGAAATATGTTACAGGAAAAAAAATAGAAGATGAAAGGTTTTCCCAAAGTAAACATTGCAAAAGGGAATTTTAAAAATAAGTTAAAGCCTTTCACATCCCCTGGAAGAACTGTATCTACACAAACACTTGGCAAGAGTGGAGCGCTGATATAACAAGGGAGCTTTGACATACTAAAGAGAAAAGGACGCAGCAAGTGATATCAGAATCCAACAGCTTAACATCCAAACCTGGGTCTACCCAAGGTCTTAGGGAAGCTCAGAAAAAAAAAAAAAAAAGAATTACAAGCTATAACTTGCTCACACTTAGTTTCTGCTAGAATATGGTTTAGTAGGATTCTATGTTGCTCACTGAAAATACTATAAAGCACATTACTAAATACTCAAAACACCTTTAATGCCAAAGGATTTGTCTATATAGAAACAAGAAGAAACTATGTTAAATAAATCGGAGAACTAGGAAGACCAGTGCCCCAGGACTTCTGTGGATAATGCACAAAGGACTGAAATGTAAGACTTACAAATCTATCTCTGATGAGGACTGTAAAAAACATGTTTCTATTCAATAACTGCCTATTAGAGAAGTTCACTGAAATGAGCATTAGCCAGTAAATGAACTGGCATAATGGAAGATACATCAGGATTGTGCTTTATGGAACAGTTGGATCCTTAAGTATCCTGTCTAATGTTAGATTAGATCGCAGACTTCAAGTTACAAACCATGTATGGCAAACTTATGCACAGTATCATTGATGAGCATGTCTGCATCCCCACCACCTTATTACTACTGCAAAGTCCTAGACATACTGGTCTGTGTGTAAAGCAAGAATATTTGTGGAAACCTGTGTAGGTAGATCTGTCTTCTTTATGAGACTGCACAAAGATGTTTTTTAATGAAGCTGTCAAACTGACAGGCCAAACTTTGTTACCCACAGAACCATCAACCCATCACTACTGTAAATCTTGATGCACACTGAAGAAAAGTAACTAGACTGGCCTTAGAAATTCTTGGCAGGCTTCTCTGCATTCTCGCTGTTTGTTCAGATGAACACAGACTGCTAGACCGAAGATTCTGTAGTTCATTCAACCTCTTCCAGCAGCTTGCCAAGGCCTTAAGATGGATTATATTTATCATACACAATGGCAGTAAGATACTGGATGTTATAAATTATTGCAACTTCACTGACAGACATGCTTTTACACAAAGTCTGATAGTGAATTATGGCCTTATGAAAAACAAGTTGAAAGATGCGTTCCTGACTGATCATGACATATCAGTTCCAAACCAGTTAAATACCTACATATATGGGAAAACCTCTGTGCTTCCAGAAGTATCAAACTTTGCAGTTTCATCCATTTTGAAAAACTATAAAAGCTCTATTCAAGAAGTGCATTTGTTTTCTATGTATATTTCTTCCCTTTCCCAAAAGGTGTTATTATTAATGTAGTTATGGACAAAAAAAATCTAAGTATCTTAAACTTTCACATTTCTGAATAAGACATTAGTATAGAAACAAATATAGAAACAGCATTACCCACATTTATGCTTCTTTTTCTCTAAGGCATCTTAGTGATGCAAAAGA